CTTCACATCGTCTTGAATAGTTGCAGTGATCTCGTTGGGTGGTAGCTACCTCTACAAGATCCCTCTATTCAAGTAGTATTTCCTCACGTTAGCAGATTAACTAGTCGCAGTTACGCACTGCCACACCTCCATCAAGATGGCTGATGAACCAGCCAGGCTCAAGCATGTCCTATGCAACCTATGCGGCGAAGACGCTTCCCCACAGGGTACAATGCATCTCACATGCGCATCGCCATGCTGAACAAGGAATCGACGATGGATGGATCTCCTACTTCTCACCAAAGATGAAGTTATGGATCTCCAAGCTTCCAACGACACCCACGGCGCTCCAAGACCAGTACCTTCACCAGAAGAAGCTACTGCTCGCGACGATACAGATGTATCACCATTGGTCATTCAAGAGGAAGAGTGCAAAGTAAATGCAAAGTTCGCTTCTTAGTAATTCATAATCTGTGTTGTGAGCTTTGATTGATGCGATCAGTAAAGCTAGTTCTTAGCGTGTTAGATCAATGCATCGTGGTAGCTGATCTTGATTCATACGGAAGTCAACGTGGTATCTGCGGGAAACGGTTCGTTGGCAGGATGCTTTACTCCTGTCGAATACTCCAATTTACCGTGTCCTTTGGTTTCGTTGAGAACGTGTTCTTGCCACCGTTCTCTGTTCCATCGTGTTGACTCATAAAGCATGACTCAATCTACTCACGGATACTCTGAGTCGTGGGAGGAACTGTAACGCTTTCAGTCATGAACACGGCTCCAACTGACCTGGGGAGAGAATGGTTTTGCCATTGGACATGGCAGCCCCCTGGTGTATCAGACCAATGATGGGACCATGGTCTGTAAGGATGTAAGCAGCTGCCGTGGCAAGCTGGAGGTTCTGAATGGTATGGTCATCGATGCCACTGAGATCAATGAATTGACCGTAGCGGTGGATAACCCTGACATCCTTGCCAAGGATGCAGCCATTGGCTCCTCGATCCATGAGTGCTCGCCACATGAGCTTGGACCAGGAATGGTTGGAAACAGTGTAGATCACAGAACCGGGTGTGCTGGAGTGCCCTGGAGACGACCGGCCCAGCACAGTAACTGGTCGTTCCTTGCCAATTGCCGCGGAAGGTAGCCCCTCCGAAGGTAGGTGGCATGCTACCCCACGAGCATGGGTGGTGCCTGGTTTCCTGGGGCTGGACCTGTTCAGCACATAAACAGATCGCCCCTTCAAAAATCCGGCTCCGGCTCAGGTTCAGGCCGGCGTACAGGTATGGGGCTCCGACTAGAGAACCAGTAGGCCTGTAACTTGGTGTCAATGTCATCACCCGTGGCCTTGGTAAAGGCAGATGGTGGGTCAGAACCAGTATCAGGGATGAATGAGACGGTGTAACCCTGGGGGGTTACAATACTCATTTAGCTTAACAAGCTATTGGCCACGGAGTGACTTTATTGACGCGGGCAAGTGGTGGGGGAGATCCCCACCTAGCTGAGTCGTCATCTACTTGTTTGCCCAATCAACATGACCTCATCCACTGGCCCAACGTGGAGCCAGCACCAAGTAGACAGATGCCCTGGGTAGGGGGGTGAGCACATTGATAGGGAACCTGCAGCGCAAAACCTGGGTTACAGGGGCTTACACAGGATTTTTGTCGGTATTGAAACCATTATCACCAAAGGGGCCGTGAGGGCCAGATAGATTGCCAGACCAAAGAGTGCTCGCCAGTAAGTGTGTCTGGGTGATCAGGTCCCAAGCTGTGGCAAGTGCCTTGGCATGCAAGGCAAGATGCCAGCAGAGCCCATAGGAGGCGGTACTCCTCAGGCTGGACCAGAGCAGCAGGGTGTAACCCATCCAATGCACAAAAATTGTTAGATAGAGGCCAACAAGCAGGCAAAAGATGGGGTCAAATGACACACTGGCAGTCTGTGGTTCCCAGGAGGGAGGCACAGTGGCTGCTGGAGTGTTGTGGGCTGTTCGAGGGGTTGTTGAGTCAATAGAAGGAGGATAAGGGGGCACTGGGAGTGGGCTGGTGCCAGGGGCAGGAGGGGAGATCCTGTTGGTTTGGAGTGTTTTGTAGGAGTTGGGATGTAGCATGGTTGATGGTGTATTGTAGGATGAGGCGTGCCTCTGTTCAAGGTGAGAACAAAGGCATCCTCCCTGATGGGTAGGGTGTGATTCGGAAGGGTGGATCCTAAAGATGGCTGCATGCTCTAGGAGCTGTTGGCTGATCATCTGGGGAGTGGTGTTGTGTAGCTGCGGAGGATGGTGGAGTGGTTGGTTGGGTGGAAGTGGGGAGTGGGGGGTGTCTGGGAGGACCTTGGGTTTGAGTAAGTTGTGGGTAGACATGGGAAGTCATGGTGGGTGGTAGGTGGGTTGGTGGGAGAGTTGTGTATCCTGGAGTGTTGACTGTAGTGTCGTTGCTTCAACGCAAGCAATGGAGGTTGCTTGTGAGGTGGCGAGAGGATTGATGTAGAGGGGTTTATTCAAGGGGCAATGCACTGAGGCACTGGTAATCAAGGTTTATATCAAGTTGTTGGGTTGTTGTTGCCACTGGATCAAAGGCTGTGGCCAAGTCTGGTGCAGGTATACCACTACCTGCAGGAGAAGAGGGTATCAGAGCCAAAGGCTGTTAGGGATTCTTTCAGGGAGAACTGGAGAAGTCACGCTATAGCCAGTAGAGGCAGTGGTGGGGGGATCAAGGGGTGTTGTTGGTTGATGGGGCTGTGTTACTGGATGACACTGTGTTGTCTCAAAGGCTGGTACTCAATCTGTTGCAAGGGCCACCTTGTAACAGAGAGTCAAGCCAAGATGTGGAGAGGGTACTCAATTCAGCTCGAAAGTACAAGTGTGCTGAAGAGTCACTCAACAATCAAGTAGAGAAGAAGGGTCAGTTATGTATTAATATATATGCCACACCACGCTGCAGGTCTGTCTGGGGATCAATCCTTTGGAGCTCCACACTCAGTAGGAGAGGCAGATAGGAGCAGAGAGGTGGCTGTGTCAATGAATTGTTGCACAATCTAGCCAAACACGCTAGAGGGGCAGCTTTTGTAGTTGTTCTTGTTGGCGTAGGATCCTGTGGAGAGGAGTTGGATATCCCAGGGAGGGGCTGTCAGACTCTGAAAATGTCAGCCAAGCCTGGTTGATATGTCCAAGGAAGGAAACTATGCTCAGTAACTCCGACGGAAAAGCTGAGGCAGTATCCAACTTGTAACCAACTCAAGTCCGTACAGGAACTCTGTTATTGTTTGTTGTTTCTCTTGGGGAGGAGTTAGATATCAATGGAGGGGTGTAACAGTGGGTGTCGATCAGTCAATCAGTCTGTATAGGGATAGGACTGGTTGGATCAGTAGGATCAGTTCCAACTAGGACGTCGGGAGAAACCAGTAGTGGCCAGTGAGAAAGTAAGAAATACAGTGTGTTTCTGTTCTCCACGGTCACTGCAGGTATCTCGTGAAGTCCTGCTTGATGATGGTAGGCTGCAGGAAGAGGGAGATGCGATCGATTCACGGAGTAGCGAGTCTTGGATTCGATTCGATTACCAGGTCTAATCGGTTCGATTCGATTCGGAGGATGTCGCGTTTCGGATGAGTCAGTTGCCTTAGGGATAAGGTTAACCGAGCCTGTTGTTGAGGAAGAAGATCGATCGTTCGATCGCGAAAAAGAGGATCGACAATGGGATTTCGTCGGCCGTCAGGAGCGGAGTTCAGAAAACAACAAATACGTATGGGAATTGTTTTCTGTACTGTGCTGGGGAAGACCGGAGACTTCTTCTTGTTGTCAAATTCTTCCAACTTGGTCGTCGGCGGTCGAGAAGAGAAAACCTGCCCGATATCGTAGGACTTCTATTGGGATGGCTTTCTGATCTGAACCGGAGAAGGCCGGATTGATAGTCGCTTGATAGTAGAGGTGCAGGAGATAGGAGGTATCGATCCTGTCGTCTAGAGGGACTTGAAAGAGGGATAACGAGAGGAGAAAGGATGTATGTTTTCCGTGATGACGTTGAGTGGAATCCTATAGTAAAACAGTACTCTTCAACAAAATAACAGATAACAAGCTTCCTGAGGTCCTTTCGCTTCGTTTCAATGCTTCCGATGGGTCTAATAGGTAGTGTAATGGTATAGGTATGACCGATTGGTTGTGTTTGTTGCTATTAGTGTTGTTGTTCTTGTAGTGACAGATTTAGAGGGGAAGCTCCTCGATTCGATTCGGCTTCCCGTGAAAAAATGAGACGGTGTAACCCTGCCGTTTGCCTGTGGTGTTTGACATCATTCGTCGGACATCCCCAGGGTGTTTGTCATTTGCCTTTGCCTGGGGTGCTGAATGGGATGGGGAAGCCACAGGTTTGCCAACTGAAGGTGTCATATCTGTCTGATTGATGTCCAAGGATGGTCCAGGTGTGTCCCCGACTGCAGGGTCAGCTTCACTATCTGGGTCCGTCATGCTGTTGGCAACGTTGACTTGGCGACTGGCGGGTGCTGGTGGCTTGGATTTCATCAGTACCTTCTTGTCGTGGTCATCAAATTGATGCCAGTTCTTCTTGCCCATACTAGAAAGTTGGGTCCAATGTTGGTCTGGGAGTCAGACAGAGGGGTCCCTCATGGCCGCAAAGGCTTGGAGATGAGTGAGGTCATCCATCGTATCCATGCCATCAGGTTGCCCGGCGTCGTCTTCAGACTCGTCGATCACAGCCATGTTGGCCCTGCGGGATCTGCCGGTGGGTACTAGAAGCTTGTGGTTGACATCAAACCTGGTAGCAGCGTTGGTCAGTACCTCCTTGTATTTCTCATACGAGTAAGACATGTGTGCACCATTGCTGCACATGTTTTCCTGCTCTCTGGCGCTGACGTTATTGAGAACCTTGATGTCGATGAATGCCTGTTGTAGGAACAGTTTTTGGATACTATCACTGAGTTTATCCTGCTCGTTGGTCTTGGAGTCGTTGTATCGTGCGAGAACCTCATCGTAGTTGATGATGAACTCCACTGCAGAGCCCTTGGTTGTGGAGTACTTGACCCTGGTGAGCCAGTTGAGTGTCTCCACGGACTCCAGTGTACCTTCCACAGAGGTGTGAGCATCCTGGATCAGTGCATGTAGAATGTGAAAGCAGTCACAATCATGAAAATGTTCCTTAACTATCACCTTGCCCTTGGTTGTCTTGATGATCTTCTGCAGGACCGTGTAGAACCATTCGTTCATCCTACGGAGCTCAAAAGCAGACTCCTGGTCCAATGGCACATATTGGAGTCGAAGAGGGCATAGAATCCCTGTGCCCTAGCCGTTGTGATAAACACGCTGTACCATTGGTCGAAGTCCTTGTTGGACTTGAGGGTGGGGTACGCATTGGAATCCGGCTTGGCATGGAACAACTTGCGTCTGGGGCCGTCTCCCCCTCCACCTCCTCCAGGGCCAGCTGGAGGGTCACCACCACCATCGGGATCCCAAGGGTCTCCAGGGGGTCCTCCTCCTGGGGGACCGCCATGCCTGCCCTTTCTGCGAAAGCCTCTGTAGCTGTCATCACCACCATGGTATCCTGAGCCACCAGGGTCTCCAGGATCACCAAATCTGTCTGGAATCCTGCCTTGAGTTACCTTGTCCATGTGAGATGTGCCTTCTAGGTTGGAGAAGAGGGATGGTTTGGATCTGGGTCTTACAATATCACTGTTTACTTGGTTGAGTCCAAGAGTGGGAACTTGCTTGGATGGCTCCTCCATGGGCACAGTTTGGTATCCAGGTGAAGTGTAGGCTGTGGTGGAAGTAAGTCCTGTGGTGACTGGTGTGTGGGTAGGTGGCTGGTCGTGGTTGAAGAACCTATCTCTTACATCAGAGATGATCCACTCCCCTTGGTCAGTGAAGAATAAACCGTCAGGATACCTTCTGTTGACCCAATGCGCAGGGTTGGTCGACACATTGGCGGGGAGCTCATCAGCATTCAATGCCCTATCATAGCGGACCCATACCTTCCTCATGTCAGGGTTGATGATCCACCTTCCGGAGTAATGTGTCTCCTGCCTGTGGGGCAACATCTAAGAAGCGCATTTTGGGCAAAGTGGATATTATGGGGAAGGTGCACAAAACGCTGGATCAAATTTTAGCGACTCATTTATGTGGGTCCCTTATCATGTCAAAGGGCATTATTTTACCCACATACGCCACTCGTTCACAGCTCATATTGCCCAAATGAACAAACATAATGTCCCTGCGAGTCCGTCATATTTTTGTGGAAGTGCGTCGAAAAAGTGTGCTCCGTACAGAGATCTGGCGGTACGCCCCTTTATGCTAGTGCGTGGATATTTGGCGCAAATGCCCCAAAAAGTGAGCTTGGGTAAGTGATAGGACGGCACGTAGCTTTGCCGGAGTCCCCGGACATTTTGCGCAAGTGCATACAAATAGTGAGCACAAGCCGCAAAGGGGCATCACAGAATTTTACCCAATGGCGCTGAATAGCATGCAAGACGCCAAAGATCCCGTGCACAAGCCGACACAACCATACCTACATTATCCGTCTTACTTTGCCCAAGTGAACTTGACTACGACAACAATGACAAAGCAGTTACAACTAGATAATCGTTACTTATTATTAGCTCAGAGAACAGTACCATTTAGTAGGGAGAGGGCAATAGAAAGCAGGGATGAGCAGAAATGTCTTTGGTTGTTGCAGAAACAGTTCGCAGAAAGGTCACAGGAACGTGACGCAAACACTGCAGAGAAATGATCCAATTGGATGAACAGATATTGCCGACTTGCCCAAACCTTTTCAAAAACCAGGCCAGAAGATCAATCAGAGGCCGAGAAATGCCCAAATGGGCTCAAACAAAGATGCTCTCAATGTATGCATCGTCATCTTCATCGTCCAAGGTGGTAACCGTCTTGGCTTTTTAGCCTGGAGCGGTCCAAGGCGTTCTTGGCTCTGCCTTGTTGGCCTTGTTGAGTTCAGCTGTTGCTTGTGGGAGCCACAGGTGTGCCCATTTGAAATGCGCAAAAGCTCCAGAGTCTTCTGCTCCAGACTGATAATGCTGCCCGTGTGGCACTGGAATGGGCCTCTTTCACCTTTTTTCTTGTATTGGTTGTAGGCTTCCAAACCATCAGCTTCCCAAGCAGTATGCTCGCTTTGGCCAGCATCAACATTGGTGTACTTCCTCCTTTGATGGGTTGGGCTCACCTGGGTGCTCCTTGACCCATTGTGGCAGCTCGGTCCACTTGGCTTCATTGTTGTCCCAAACAACAACGGCCTTGGCCTCATGGTGAGGGGTGAAAATGGGCTTGTTGTGCTCGTTTTGCTTCGCTGATGGTCTTGTAGAACATAACATTCTTGACCCACTCAATGGCTCCGAAGACCTTAGGCAAGAACTCCGCTCCAGTACCACATGAAAAGCTCCTTTTCCTCTTCAACCTGCGCAACAGGGGAATTGGTATTTAAAAAGTGAGTCAACATTTGGGGCATTAGCAAAAAACGAATATTGGACGTACCTCCAAATGCAATTTGGCGACAAACACACTTGAGGATCAAGGCGGTAGTGGGAAGGGCCTTGCTCTTATCCATGCGAGCAAAAGCAACCTTCTTCAACTCCTGAGTAAGGTAGTTGCGACGGGCATTAATGCCCTTTCCCACCGACTTCTTGAGGTGAGGAAAAAAGCTTCCTCCTTTGTCGCATCACATCT